CTACCTACCCTATTGTACCTACCTACCTACCTACCTACCTACCTACCTACCTACCTACCTACCTACCTACCTACCTACCTACCTACCTACCTACACTATTGTAAACTGAGCTGTGATCTGACCCTTTTGACCAGTATTTAACACCAGATTGAAATCAACCAGTAATTTATCCTGTCATTAATCCAGCCTTTTCTAGGAGATCAACACCCGCTGTATACTTACCTACTAACTCAGCCCAACAACAAGCAAGCATCAATTTACCATGAATGATCAAGCAAGATAATCAGACAAGTAAAACTTTTGAGACTGAAAAGCTGTGATTTTAGCACTCACTTAGCCAGGGTATGACCGACAGGCCCAAGAGGTCAGCTGACCTTTTGTTAGAACCGACACCTCCAGGCAGATCTGGTTGTAAAACATCAACGAAGCAAGTCTGAAATTCTCTTAAATTACTTTAATTCACCTTAAAAAYAGAAGATTTACYAAGACTCAAAGATCACCCAGGAATCGCATGTCAAACTTGTGCATACAGTCAAAAACTTTATTCCAAGTGTAGKTAAGTACAAAATGTGACTTCACTTAAACAGTTACATCCCCATGCCTTAACTCTAAAAATCAAAAGCAGAAGATGTAGGGTGCTTGAGGGATAAAAGTTCATGTGGATCCACAGGAAGAAGCCGGTTTATGTGTGCAAGTGAGTTTTTTAAACTCCTGTGTACCTTTTGCAAAAACACATACATTTCCTCTGTTTTCCTGTTTCAGACAAAGAAGGCAACTCATTTAACAACCCTTCATATGTTTATGCATARTTAATACGTCAATTCATATGATTATACAAAAGGGTTGAGATTACAACTCCTTTCCTGCAACTAAAAACAAGAAAAACATTCTTAAACATACAAAAAACATTGAAACATTCCCCTCCTCTCAGCATAGCATCCATAGTTTGACTCTAGGCTGTTGGAATTGTCTACTTTCAGAATATACGGTTGCACTTCTCTGAGCGAGATCCAAGGTGCAGAAGGAAGAGTTTGTGTTAGCAGGCCTGCGTACAGCAGGTTGACCATAGCAAGAGTTCGGGCTCATCCATGATGAATCACAGTTGTTCTTATCAGCGTTCATCTAACTGCTGGTTAGATGAACGTACGTCTCTGGTACCATTCAACCCTTTGTCCAAACTCTGCAGACTGGTCTGATATTGGTCTTTGATGTACACTGGGCCGACTTAATGCATGGACTTACAGGCTAAAGCCCCGGGGCCTACAGCGTTGGGGGGCCTATTGATTTGGGGTCACATGACGAGCTGAAAAAAATACATTGTTTAATAACTTGTCAGGTTTTCTGTCAACCATTACAGATGCATGTTTATGGCTGCTGATTGATCCAAACAAATAGTAACCCATGTGGGCTCACATGGTCTGACCAATCARAATGTGTATTAGTAGTTTGGGGGYGTGCACCTTGATGATTGACTGACAGCTGCCAACATGTTGGATCAGGGAAGAAGTTTGTGAGCGATGCTTGTTAAAGTTAGAATGTATTCCCACCAGGAAAATCATTTGGTCCACTTGTTTGGTTCGAACCAAAAGCAGACCTTTTGTTGTTTGGTTCACTTTGCGTTCACATTGTGCTTTTTTGCATGCGGATCAAAAAAATGCACATTTTCTGTAGTTGGTTCTGTTTGAAGTCGGTCTGTATTCACACTAGAAGCGAACCACACCAGAGTTCATTAAGAACCAGACTGAGACCACCTGAAAAGTGGATCTTGGTCCAGTTGTTTGGTCCACATCGTTTATCATATGTCAGGCAGTTGGCTGCAGTCAATCATTTTTTCTGTGCTTGCAGAAGTAGAAGAAAAGCAGTAACAGTGGTGGATAACAGAGAACTGTTCCTCGTTCCAAACAACATTCATACACTTTACTTTTCAGGATGCAGCTGTTTTTGTGCTCAACACTGAAGTGTTTGTACATGTGCATGTATGTGTCATTCAAATACAAAATCACAACTTCACCTTGTGACCTGGCATTGAAACTATGGCAGATTGAACAAACACACTATTACTTTTGTAAATATGTAACATTTTCATTAGAAAATCTCTAAA